AAGGAAAGAGCCTGGAACAGAGATACTAACTGGCACTGTACTTCCATGTCACTGCTCAGGCTTTCTCCGGATCTCTTAATTGATTATCTTCAGTTTCCAAGCCAGCTGAATGGATGCTGCTGCCTCTGTGAATCATTGTACAGCAGAGCAATAAAGAAAGGCAAAACAAATCTTGAATTAGCAGATGGTTGTAGTAGTCATACAATGTATTTTATGTTGCAGGTTTATTGTCCTGTTTGTGTAAAGTTATAAGTGTGATAGGATAGAAGCTTTAAGCTACATAGGCTAGTGAAAAGCATCCTAGTTCTTCAATAAAGGCCCATAAGGGTCAGCAGAGTGGCATCACTACTTGCATGTACTTACAGTTGTGTGCCACTATACGTTTTCGAGTTTACCTTTTACCTTATACTACTTCACTACACCTCAGATGAAAATATTGTATTTTTGACTTCTCTGCATTTATCAGACAACAACAGTAACCAGTTCCTTTTCAGTTAACATTTTACTTTAAAAAATCACATGATAGGCTCATTAAATACAATGCACTGTAAAAGATTAAACCAGTGGTTCCTAACCTTGTTGGCATGGGACATACAAAAATGCAAAAGCTAGTTTCTCCCCTTCTCGTGAGTCAATGATGTGTTTGCATTTCTGCTGGCAAGTCTTAATGTCTAATATGAACAAGAAAATGTTGCTGATGATACTTCTGTGCTCTTTATAAAAAAGTTTGAATGACAAACACAGTCTTGTTTTGGTACTTTTGCATACGTGAAGACAGCTTGACCCTCAATGTATTTCCTTGATAATGTGACCAGTTTAACCCTATCTTCAGTAGCAGGACTGTGTAGCTGCTCTCTGTGTGTGTTTATCTGTGTGCCGATCCCCATCTTTGCGAAACACGTGTCGACTCAGCCACGCATCATTAACCTCTTTTGTGCCCGGCGCTGTTGGTGCACGCTTTACATCTGCCTCAGAAGAACACAGACAACAGCAGGGTCTCTAATGATAATGCCTCCCTGCCTGGCTGCTTGTCTGGCAATAGGTCACTTCATTGACCTGCACTCCTCTCTAATAAGCTGTATCCATACATCACCTCTCCCCTCATTTATACCCGACCACTGACTGCACATAAATCACATACAACCAGACATAACATCCATTTTGCACACACAAGGAAACACAAACACTTTTGCTTGAACTTCTTTCTCTTTTTTTGCTTTGGTGAATAATTCTGAAGATGTCATGGCAGAGTCGAAACTGACCAAGTGTTTTGTGGATGACTGAACTTGGGTTTTAAATAGACCCAGGCCCTTGTTAGTGCCTCAGAGTGCATGGAGCTGCCTGTCAGCCTGTCTAGGGCATGCTGGTCCACAGACAGCAGAACACCCAGCAGCCCTCTGGGATACATCCTCTCCTCCGTTACCCTGGGGCTCCTCCACACAGAGCAGAAAGAAGCAACCGCATTCATAGTGAGGGAGGAGGGGAGATGGGAAGGGAATAGATGGGTAGGGAATTAAGGAAGAGGGGGGAAGGTGAGAGACAGAGTGAGACATGTATGAAAAGGCAATATGGATTAACAGAGAAAGAGAATGAGAGGCAGATGTGCAAACTGCTGTATAGGTGTGAAAATCGACAGAGATAAGTGTGAGATGAGCTATGTGGAGGTGTTTCACTTCACTGAAAGCCACCTGGTGTAAAGGCTCCAATTATACGAATACTCACACTTTAGTCTGGGGTGCCACTTTATTCATTCACTCTTTTTCAAGTGCAAATTGAAGCTTCATAGTGATCAACACATCATCTGTTATGCGACACAGACGTCAAAACCTGCAATTCTGGGACCACACCGAAAGTTAGCTGTAGATATTTGTGTGTGAGTCACATTGACACTCACACCCTGCATCCAGTGTCAGGACTAAGGAATGTTTCAATGCATCATGAGGCTGAGCTCACACTCCACAGGTCATACATTTGTTAACATCCTCAATGGTGTTATTTCTGCTCCAGTAAAGCTTTTCTGAAATGTGTGTATCAGTGTGTGTTTGAAGCAGTGAGGCCTGTCAGCTGATCACGACTTGCTGTCCTTGTAGGCTGCACGTGGATTCATCACATGACAGAGCCGGCTGATATACACCAATAAGTCTCTTTGTAACAGGAAAACACACTCTGTCTCTTTGAGGCCAAACCTTGAAGAAAGTTTTTAGGGATTCAATCAATCAATCAATCAATGTTTATTTATATAGCCCAATATCACAAATGTTACATTTGTCTCAGTGGACTTCACAGTTTGTACAGAATATCAGTATGACAATACGACACCCTCTGTCCTTAGACCCTCACATCGTACAAGGAAAAACTTCCGAAGAAAACCCACAGTTTAAAGGGAAAAATGGGAGAAACCTCAGGGAGAGCAACAGAGGAGGGATCCCTCTCCCAGGACGGACAGACGTGCAATAGATGCCGTGTGTAAATTGAAAAGATAATACATTTGCAACATAGGTAGTCCAAATGTTTGGAAATGCATGTCTGTATAATAGGAAGATGAATCCACGAGGATATCCATCCAGGACTTATGATCGAGGACCACAGCCACGACTCAAGATCCAGGGCTCGCTATGCAGGACACAGGAGCGCAGGATCATCCATGTCTCCGGATCCCGGCGTATATAGACACCAAAAAGAAAGAAATGTGGGGAAGCTGGGTTAATCTGAACATGAGTACACAGGTATAGACAGAGAGAAGGAAGAAGTAAGATGTCCCCCGACAAACTAAGCCTATATCAGCAAAACTAGGGGCTGAATCTAATCAGCCCTAACTATAAGCTTTATCAAAAAGGAAGGTCTTAAGCGCACTCTTAAAAACGGATAGGGTGTCTGCCGCCCGAACACAAACTGGAAGCTGATTCCACAAATGTGGAGCTTGATAAGAAAAGGCTCTGGCTCCCATTGTACTTTTAGAGACTCTAGGAACAACCAACAACCCTGCATTCTTGGAACGCAATGCCCTAGTAGGACAGTAGGGTATAATGAGTTCTTTAAGGTAAGATGGCGCCTGCCCATTAAGGGCTTTGTAGGCGAGAAGAAGAATTTTAAATTCTATCCTGTGTTCTATAGGGAGCCAGTGTAAGGCAGCCAGAACAGGAGTAATGTGGTCCCTTTTCCTAACTCTGGTTAGTACACGAGCTGCAGCATTTTGAATCAGCTGAAGCGACTTGACTGACTTCTTGGTACACCCTGATACTAAGGAGTTACAATAATCCAGCCTTGAAGTAACAAATGCATGGACTAGTTTCTCTGCATCGTTTTGAGGCAAGATATGCCTGATTTTTGCAATGTTACGTAGATGGAAGTAGGCGGACCTTGAAATTGATTTTATGTGGGCGTTAAAGGATAAATCCTGATCAAATATAACACCAAGATTCAGGCAGCTCATGAACAATAACTGTGTTACAGGGACCCCAAGAGGTCATATTTAATAGTGCATCAGCTGAGAAAAGTAACCGCTGCTATGCTTTATGAATAACCCTCCATAATCACAGCACCTGCATATTAATAGAGCAGGACTGATCCCACTGACCCATATTTCCAGCAGAGCCCTCAGTGGGGAAGATGCTTAGAGAAGCTTATGAGAGGAGAGGGGCATCAACAAAGGCTCCTCTGTCGCTACAGTGATGTCATCTGACTTGACCTCTTCCCTCTGGCTCTCGTTATTACTCTGCCATTCAAATTCAATCAGCAAGGCATATTGTAGCAACTGGTTTTTAAATTCTGAGAGGTATGTTAATATTGTGTCTGCATTGTTTGAAAAGAGGTAGAAGTAGGTTGTTGTCGAAGTGCTATTTTATGTTTGTTACTGTGCATTTTCTGATATGTCTATTGTGCTTTCACCTAGGGAAACTCAACAGATTTTACGCAACAAGTTCAGTTTACCTGTAACAAGGAGGCTCCAAGCTTTCCAACCCTGTTGCATTGCATTATGGGAAGAGTAATATGCAGTGTTTTTAAGTGTTGACACTGGACTAAAAGTGAGGGTATCTCAGACTCTGCTACTTCAATTTCTTTTTTTTACCATTAAAGTAAAGTTACCATTACCATTAAATAACATTAAGATTCAATTGGCAAGGTCTAACATTTTTCAATGTGCTGTTAGAGCTCAATCAAGATTCATATTTCATGTGATTAATGCTTAAGGAGTGCATGATAACTAGTTAGCAGTCAACTCAAACGAATGTGAATGGATACATTATTCAATCATTCAGCTTTCACCACTCTAAGTCATATGACTGACCAAACCTACAGAAAGTAGTCCTGGATCACTACTGTATGTGTTCTATGAGAAATGTTCAAAATATTATGTACTTTAGAGGGATATCCTAACAATATTTTCCTTGTTTGCTATAGAAGGCTTACCATTTGCAATGTTCAGTTAGTAAGCCACTAGGACTTATTTGCTTTTGCACATCCCATGATACTCATAAAAGTCTAGACAATAATCCATTGAACATCATTTATTTTAATTTAAGTATGTGTTGTTTTTGAAAGAGCCCAACAGCATTTCTGCTCCATTTTAAACGACTGCCAAAAACACAAACTGTAGAATTAATTGGGCAGAGCGCCGGTCTCCAGAGGCTGGACAGGAAGTGCTGGGTGCACCAGAGGTCAGAAGAAACTGGCTCCGATCATTGTGGGCGTATCTCCAGAAGGCAGGGAGAGGGAAGGGAACGAAATGGGAAATGCAGAGGAGGGAGGAGCGAGGTTCAGGCAGGACAGCAGGGAAAAGACAGAGTGAGAGAGAAGGGTTGGGGGTGTAGGTGGTGGAAGTGTTTTGTGCATTGTGTGAAATGTGATCATGTCCTGGAGCCGCTCAGACAGCTGGGAAGTTCCCCTGCCCCTGGCTTCCAGCTGGGAACACTGAGGAGACACCAGGGCTGCAGACCATTCACTTTGCTGATTAACCCTTCATCTGCTGTGCAGGGGCAAAGAACGACACTCACACGACGTGGAACTTAAGTCACATTTTATTGATTTTTGGCCAGTATGACTACCTTTACACAGATATCCTCCCTCGCTTCTAGAAAACAAACAAAACACTTTCATAGGATTATTTCAGCAGTAATACATCAGACTTAACTTGTCTTCTCCTTTTTGTTTCTCCACATTTCTTTTTTTTGTTTATCACCCTGATGAAGTTTACATGTTTGTTTTCAATCCTGTGTAAAGGTCCCATGACTGGGAAACATGCATATGGCATTGCGCTGTAATCAATATGCCACTATTCATAATGCACATTATTGATAAGGATACAGTACTGCATGACAATTCAAATAAATACCAACATACAGGTGAAGTCGTTATTTCATATAAAGATATCAAACTCTCATTATGGATCAATACTGAAACACAATATGACAATATAAAGTTTGCACAGCTAATTGTATTATCACAATGCTATCGCTTCCAGCAAACAGAAAACTTTCTCCTTTTTTTCAAATGTAAAAACATTGTTAGAATTGCACTTTAATTTCCTAGCTTATCTTCCGTATTGGTAACTTTAATGCCTCAACAAGCAAGCATTGGCTGTAATGGCACTATTCAAGCTTGTTGATGCTTATTTTGTTTTCTGTTTCCTGAAAACATAATAAGATGAAGTAAAAAAAGATTCAAGAGTAAAAAATATAACAAACAAAAACTGAAATTGGACAAAAAGAATGAGAAAATGCGCTCTCTGCACATTTGTCTACAATACTATTGATATCACATGACCTTCACCAATCTACCCGGACACATTACAGATGCTTTGAGCATTTTGTTCAATAACAGGAGGCCAAAGGGATTTCATTTGGTTCCCAAAGTTAGATAAAAAACAACCTTTTCTTAATAATACCCCTGAATTAGTTTGAGTGGGATCACTGACCTGCAGAATTCAATACAATTTCAGTTTTATTGAGCGAATTCCCAAACTATCATCTCACCCATGCAGACGGGGGAATTCCCTTTGCACTTATTGCTGCTCACAGGCATTTTGAACCCAAAGTCCTCACCTATAAAAAAAAGTAAACATCAAATACTAGTCTAAGATTCTCCCTTGAAACGATGAAAGGCACTACTGGTCAGAAACAAAGAACTAAACGAACCAAAAACAAAACCCCGGCGCTCGCTTGGAGAGCCATGGCCAGCTTCACCTTTATCAGTTTGTCTCCTCCGAGTCTTGATTCTTTTCAACCTAAACGGTGTACCAAGATTTGGCACGATAAACGAAGAGAGAATGAAACAATTCCAATTTGGAATTTAATTTTTGCACTTTTGCAGAGAATTCTGAGAGTCAGTGATCCCGGTTCAGTGGAACGCCCTCGGTAAGAAGAGAGGAAAAGCATATCATACCACTCAAATGTTTCCGAAAACACAACTTACCTATTCGAGTCAGAGCGTTGTCAAGTTTCATTGTGTCATTTTGAACTATTCCTAGGAATAATAAATACATGAAAAAACCCCAGAATTTGCATCACCCTGGATTTTTTGTATAGAACATGGCAGTGGAACAACCACAAAAGAAAACCAACAGCATAACATATGACGTAACAAAGCAATTAAAACATGGTTATTTGATGGATAAAATCTTGAGGTTAAAGTCATAATAGTAGGTCTGTGGTTTGTGGAGCATTTACTTGAGTAAATAGTTTCCGTTATTTAAGTTTAGATGATTCAGGAGGTCGTATAATCCTAGAGTATTATACCGTATACTGAATAACTCACAAACCATAGAACTACCACGCTTTCTCCTATAGGTTCATTATAGTCTGTTATAATCCTATATAATAAAAGTGCACAGATTGAAAAAAAAAACATGACTTAAAACAAAACAAAAGATGAAACCAGACCAAACAGTTGATTCACATGGAGAAACAACCCCATGCTTCTCATTGGAGGGTTTGATACAACTCTGATCAGAATTCAATGTGTTCATTGGACCTGTGAGAAATTGGCTTCCAGCAGCAGCAGCATGCAAAGTGTCTTTCTAATAGCCATCAAGGCAATAAGAAGGAAGTGTCAGTTTATTCGACTATAAATCAGTGTTTTCATTGAGTTTTTGTTTTGTCCTCCAAGTCCAAATGGCCTATTTGTGAGAATGGACCTTGTGTTGGAACTTCATCATCCGCACGGAACTACTGTAATTACTGCAAAATGAAGCAAAGAACAGATGATCGGCATTAGCATTATCCGTCAATTTAGAGTGACGGTTAACAGAGCAGCTGAGTCCACACGGACAAAGCAGGCGGCGGTTTGAGTTAGTCAAAGCAACAGAAGCCATGTTAGAAACTCTGAGGCAGCCGATGTTCTGCCAGGAGCATTAATATGTTTACGAGGAGCTGATGTGAAAGCACAGTTGCCAAAAGTTCTCCTGCAGTTGCGGTTAGAAAGCCAATGACTCACAAGTACCAAAGCCTTTGTTCACAGGACAGAGTTAAAGCCATATCCAACCACCCAGGTCTGAGGACATGGGATCTTTCTCATATAACATGCAAGTGAATGAGCAATGGGTTAAGTTGCTGACATGCAGGCTATCTATGAATCAGAGATGTATGCATCATGTGTTCAAACTTAAAGGGTGACTTGGAAGGAGCCTGCACGCAGAGGTAGGAGATGCTTTTTAGGGTGCGTGTTGTTATGACACCAGATAAGCCAGACATTGATTTCAAACTAGACGGAGCAATAGGGTTACTATTTAATATAAGTAGGGGAGGTTCTAGTCACAAATACATCCTGGGGTCTACCTACTGCTCAGTGATCACACAGAGCCTATACAAAGGAGAGTAAGGGTCTCAACTAATTTGAATCAATGTCCTCTGGTCCATTGAGCGACCAGTTTTAGTTTCTTTGTGTTCCTCCAAAAAAAGAAGAAGGAGTTTCTCCCTCAGGAAAGTCCTGGATTCATTTCCCCCCGTTTGAGAGTCAGCTCTCAGCCAAATATCTGGCTTTCTTCACCAGCATGTTTGGTTTTCTTATCTCCTCTCTCAGGAGCTGGTTTACAACACGAGTAGTTCTCCCTCCTCTACTCTTCAAACCTTTTTCTCTGTCAGCGCAAACTGATAGAAAGCATATATCACACTTGTAAGTTAAGTGAATCTCAAACTTAAGAGTGATTGACCTCTAAGGAGGTGTAGACGATAGCCTTGTCTCCATGCTGTGTGCTTACGGATGCACACTCAAGCAGGGTTGACCGCTGGCATTGTTCCTTTTTCATTATTCCAGGAATAACGAAGCTCCCTCTCTTTATATCCGAGAGGAAGGAATACTGTAGTTGGATCCTGCAAGATTATAACCTGAACATGATCATATTAAGAATATAGACTTTTAAATATATATAGCATAGTAATAGAAAACGCATAATTTGATCAATCTTGCAGGATTTGCTCAAATCAACCCTGCTTTTAGCATCATCAAGCTAATGGGCCTAATGATCCACAAGCAGTACATGGTTATATCAAACACAAGCCCCACTTATTGTTGTTCCTATTTGCGTAATGCTAGCTTGCAAAGAGTTAAAGCTATTGTAGATACAAAAACTTTCTGTCTTCATACATCACAAAACAATAAAAAAGTAATGCGTGACCCTCCATTCGCAAAGGTTAAAAACCTAATACACACAAGGGCCCTTCACGTAAACGCTATATACACACAGGCAACTATCGGAAACACAACGTATGTGAGGACGTTACCTGATAAAAATATTTTAAATCCTCATTTTAGCTAAAGGGTGAGTGGTGATGGTGGGGAGCAAGCTGCTGGCAATCTAAAAGAGAGAGGGTTGATATGGCGACCGAGTGACAAGACACTGATTAGAGACGTGAGGAGAGGGTTTTTAGCCACTTAATTTTTCAGAAATAATTTAAGAGCTCAGAGCGATCTCCCAAAAATCGGAGACAGAGGATGGGGGGTAGATGGGAAGGAACAAAGTCCCCTGAAGTAGAGACAGAAGGACAGGGCTTTACATCAACAGATATAATATATCAAGTGTTTGGGTCGACAGGCACTTTTGCCGAGTGGTCGGTTGGTTTCGTTTGCAGATTTATTGTGCACATGTGGGTGCCTTTTTGATTTGTGCTCTTCTAGGATTTACTCTTCTTTGATTCAAACTATATTGTATCTCTGTTCACAGCAATCATTTGATCCTTTTTAACAGAAGTAGGAACTTGAGGCACCAATGCTGAAATGCACCTCATTTGGGTGGTTGAGATCGATTTGTCAAAAGTTCTTTCTCTCTTTTGATAGGTCTCTGAAAGAATCCATCGCAACGTAATGGATCACATTGAATAGTCCTCCTGGACTGTATTCCACCAGACACAAAGTAAGTCCTATTTTACAATGTAGAGCCCTGCAGGACATGGGTTCGTCTTGTACCACACACCTGACGACAGAAAAACAGTTAAAAAGCTCATAAGCATTTTTAGCTGCAAAGCCATGCGTTTCTAATGACCCTATTGTATTGGTGTGCTAGAATCACAGCTTGAATATTATCCGGAAATAAACACCTGCGGTCATAGGTGCTCCTTTTTTGCCCAAACCTTTCCATTATAAAACCAGTAGCAATCCCACTTTTGAGTTTTTGAATCTCTGTTTAGAATCACACTGTGCTCCCCTAGCAAGAAAGCAGAGGGAGATTGCATATTTGAGTTTTTTTCTCTTCAAACTCCTTTTGTGTCAAGTTTCTTTTTCTCAAAGAGTGACCTGATTATACAGTGGGCTGCTGGTCAGAGGTCAGTCCTGGGGGACCAGGACGGAGAGGCAGGAGAGAGGAGGGGGCTTTTATCAAAGGAGCACCCTTGCCAACAGACACGGGACGGTCATATTGACATCTTCTTTACAAGTCCCCGCCCCCACAATGTGTTGCTGTTACCAGGCATTACACTCAGGGGGCGTGAACGAACGAGCACAAAAGCCACCACCTTTTACATCATACGTACAGCACTATGACAGCGGAAAGAATGGACACTCCATTATACCCACAAATCCCCCATTATAACCGGGGCCCTATAATCCACATGCCATATATGTCTACTGCAGTCCAAACGTCTAGTGCACACTGTACATACATCAGCATTCCCATAAGCGTTTACACTAGCACACACGAGCAGCCGGTTAGTCACACAGCAGTCCCTAGAGGAGCGCAGGCTGGCCAGGGAGCTAAGCGAGCAAGTGGGGCTCTTTAACACTAAGGCAGGGAGGGTTTCGGCCGTGGGCCCCCTCCCCTCTGTACACAGCAGTCCTTGCAGACTTCTCAACCGCCTCAGTCACAGTAGATCTTGTACTTCTCGCTGCAGAAGACTGAAGGGCCTCCCATAATGCCGTTGGGCATAGCATTGTTGAGCTCTGGACGGCCGGAGCCAGAGCAGGTGAGACTCTGACTTACATGGGGGGTGAGGGGGGTGGCGCTGGTGGCCTTGCTGCGGGCCTTAGCCCGGCTGGAGCTCCCCCCCCGGCGGGTATGCTCGTGATCGAACTCCAGGTCTTCCAGGCGCTGTGTCAGGGCCAGTTTCTGCTGGATAGCCATCCGCAGCAGGGAGTTGAGGGTCTTCTTCTCATCCTCTGCTGCAGCCAGCTGCCTCTGCATCGCGTCCAGCTGGGTGACATACTCGTCACAACTGCAAGAGAGACAGAGAGAGGGAAAACTGTAAGGTCAGGTATGTCATTTGGACCTGGAACTGAAAACAACAGCATGTTTTTACACCATCAATACTTTCCGTGTCCTACCACAAGATGGCAGTGTATGTTCCAAAAATACCAAAGAGCCTTTTCCTCAATGGTGCAAGAGATTAGTTGGCTTTTAGTTTAGTTGAATTTACTTAAAGCTATTGGAAAACTGCACACATGATTTGTATACCTCAGCTGCATGTTTTAGATACCAACAATAATGAAGACAAAAAACAACTGGAAGAGTGACCTTTCCTCTAGTGACAGTGTTATTTCCATCACCAGGTGGAGCCACTGATCCACACAGTGCAGATCTGATGAGACAAGCTAGGCTCTTGCATTATGATTCATGATTTCACCCCTTTCTTTCCCCTCCGCTGGATTTCACCAGCTAAGATGTTCTCAGCTCAGTTTGAGTCATTTCAGCTGATATATTATAAGTCACAGTACCAACCTCTCGCGGTCCAAAGCTGCCATCTCTTAATGTTTTAAACAGACCACTGCAACATGGTTCACTTCACCCTGCCCACCCTGTATAATTACTCACAGCTTTTCTGAACAATATGAGTAGCTTATGTGCAGAAGTTAAGAATAGAACACATAAACAAAGGATGAAAGCATTAACACCTAGCAGTCAGTAAGGAAATCCTTTCGACGTCACCTGATTAACAGGCTGAGGGAGGAGTCAGAGAAAGAAGAAAAATGAAGATGGGAATGAGAGGAATACGGTTCATTGCTCTGAGCGATAGCTGTTCACAACCGATGTCCACTTTTCCAGCTGAAGTGAGACTGTATCAGTTCTATCTATCTCTTCCACCTCCCATCTCTGTGCAAAATAGCACAATATATGATAACTGCCCCCTACTGGAAAATATCAGTGAGTGCTGCACTGCGGCATGAGCACCTGTCCTCCAGTGACCGTATGCGGGTCTGCATGTGTGTCTGGACAGGTATAGAAAGTGGGTCATCTAAAGGGATTTAAAGGTGGGGGGGGGTGATATCTCCACTCTCCATCTGCTGTCGTGCCCATCTTTTCTCATTCACTAAACCCTCTTCCCCTTTCCATTACCCTGCTCTCTCTCATTCAGCTCTCTTTCAATCACGTCCTCTCTCCTGGCTCTTATCTCGCCTCTCCAGCCTTTTCTCTCTCTGTCGCTAACTTGCTACTGTCTCCATCTGTTTGCCTGAGTCAGTCACTTCTCAACATTCCTACTTTCTGGGTTGTGACACACCTCAAAAAAAGGGAGAGTTTTTTTTATATTGGCAAGCAGCACCTTATCCACCAACAATACCACATTATGGCAACTTTTTGGTGTGGTATTTACTTTATTTGGAAACGGTATTTACTTTATTTGGAAACGCCCCAACCTGTGCGGTTGGGGCGACTTCATGAAGTCTTTTATATTTCGAAAAACCACAAAAACGCAGAAATCGTTCGTAATGTGAATTGTGTAATGTATTTGTGAAGTTATAACTGTCATTCTCTCAGTAGGCAAATGAGATCTTATGTCATGGTTTGGTTAGTGGCTGCTTGAACTTCGGCACTGTAAACAGAATCCAACTTAGATGTTTCGTTATGTTGAAACACAGAATATTTTGTCAGATCTTGACCCTTTTCAAACCAAAATAAACTTGTTTTTGAATATTCTCTAGAGTCAATTGTGATTTTGTCCCCCTTGAAACTGCACTTGCAAATTATTTTCTTGTTCTAAGAAAAACAAGTCTTGAAAGCAAAATCCGAGACCATAAAAACAACAACAACCGCAGCTGTTTTGCCTGTGTGTGGTGCTGCACGTGGATGTGTGTCACATGAACTCTGACCCTGCCAGACCCTCATACAACATGAACCATACCCTCCCCTCTTGTGTATGCAGTTTGATTCCCTGCGGGACACACACCCAGACAAAGGGGATCAGCGCTGCTTCATTAAACCCAGTATGAGATGGGGGGGCGACCCGGGAGGCAGGGGGTGGGGGGGCCGGTGCGCCTTCAGACGGCTGAGCCACTGTTGCATGGGGGGGCGAGAGGGTGTGCATTTTTCCCGGGAAAAAACAGAGACGTCTATTCTGGAAACTGGAGGGATACAAAGGGATCCTTTTTGGCCTGCTGATGGGATCTGGTGGCACAATGGCTGATGTGGGTCGGGAGGCGACTACTGGCCTTTTGATGATGAACAATCATCATATTCACACCACCGACAAACGGGCACTTTATCTGAGTTTTGCTGTGATTATTTACACTAGCTAATGCCCTTTATGGCTGCATATGGAAGCCTCAACTATTGCAACATTCATGTGGAGTGCTACACGATGGATATCAATCAATAATGCCTCCAAAGAAACACACATACAAACTACCTCATCAGCTGCTGTCTGGAGCTTGATTGGTCACGGTGGGATGGATATCATAGACAGAGCAGAGAGGAGGAGGCAAGAGCAGAATGAAAGAGAGAATAATGGATAGGGAACTAACAACAGAACAGCAAGATGATTGAGTAAGCTTGAGGGGTAAGTGTGACTTTGGGCCAATGATTTGACTGCAGTATGAGCAGGAGCTGAGAGCATGTCCAGGCATGTCTTAGGAATGTTAGTGTTCACATGACCCCAGAGACGGCAGCTGAAGAGGCACGCACATAAAGAAACACAGAGAGAAGCACGTAGAGACGAACAACACCCAACCATGTCTCCTGCTGAACAAAATACACTTTAAAAATCTCAAGTAACTGATCAAAGAGAGGCGCAGAATGCAGCACGAGATCACACAAAGGATCCAACAGAAACCTACACATTCCTTCAATTCCACTCCACTTTTCTTCGTCAAAGACCACACATTTGTATCTGAGAGTTTTCCACATCTTAGAAATCCACCTTTCCAGACTTTGTGTGATTACCATGAAAACAAGACTGTCAAACTAGGCTTCTGTCGTGGGCTTTAACTTAAGCCCCGCCCCTCTCCTCCCTTTCTTTTCCAGATGACTAGAGGACCGGTTGTTTTGCATTGAGGAAGGACGGGAATACAAAAGGGGGGAGTGTGGGAAACCTTGCTCAGGCGAGTCCCCCAGCCTCTCAATGAGTCCCCTGACCCAGCACTGTGCCGTGTAGGACATCATTTACATACCAATATGTGAATCACATAAACAGATCAAATGTAATTCATCTATAGGCAAAAAACAGTGACAGGCTACGTGGATACGAGCCTCAAGATCATCATCATCAGGGGAGGGGGGTCTTAATTGTGCAAAAGGAGGAAAACATGTGCATTAATGCAGACACTAAACAGTAAGCTCCAATGTGTTGTTATCATCTTAAGCCCCTCCAGCAAGAGGCTTAAAGACACAGACACCTAGCAAAGACTCGACTACTTCAAAGCAAATATGATCTCACACCCTCTCAACAATGAAACCAATGAAAAGTGATACAACTCTAGGGGGATCCTAGAGGGTAAAAATGATGTGATTAGTAGGAGCAAGATCTGGTTTCCTCTTAGTCCTGGTTGCCAGCACTCACTCTCATGTATGCAGACAGAGAGGTTTTCCTCCTGCTACTAATTGATTAGACACTGCAGGTATATGGATATGCCTCTGCAAGCACACTTCAGGGAGAGGTATTAAACTACTCTATGGGTAGGATGAAGTCCTAAATGCAAAAGGTAAGACTGTATCAGCATCTTAGCCGGGTATATACGGGAGAAGTGTATTAAAAACATTCACGCCCACTCCCACACACAAACAACAAGCAGTGTGAAAGCGCAGTGTTGAGGGGTGAATGTGTAATCCAGACCAAGATGAGGTGGGATTATGCACAGAACCTTTGACCGACTTCTCTGAGGAATCAGGAAAAGATTAGTGAGTGTGTCAACCCATCTAATACTCACACTGTTCAAAACAATAATTAAGTGACATATTTAAATGATACCGAGATTAAATACCTTCTGTGCTCTTTAATCAGTATCAATGCTAATACTACTTCCTGACTGATTCTCCAAAACAAAGAAACAATATAAACACGTCACTTTACAATAATACCATACAGCCAACATATGGTAAACATGGCTTACATTGTGATGGTAATCTTTAATCTAATATTTCGTGTACTAGGATCGTGTAGTGCATGTGTATTAATTATACAATGCCATCTTGTCTGATGCGTCGGATATGAGCCTTGGAAGGCAAGGTGACTGAAACATGTTTTTCCGTGACGTCCATTGAGCAGACATGTTTCTTACCGTGTGGCGAACATGGCTCGGAGAGAGGAAAAGGTGGCAGCGTCCTCCTTCAGGGCTTTGAGCTCATTCCTCAGTTTCATCATGGTCTCGGTTACCATCGCCTTTTCGTTCTCATACTTGCTCTTCAGATTGGCCAGAGCCACTTCAGCTGTCTGTGGGTGGAGGAGAAGAACAAAGCGTCAGAGCAGCTGGAAGGCGTTGGTGTTGTGTTTCCTGTCTATAGAATTCTGTTAATATGGACCATATTACCTATTACTTTCCAGCAGCCTTTAGTTGTTATTGTTAGCTGCTGGTTTAAACCCATAGGTGTGTGGTTTATGAGGGGCGTTCATGTGTGTGTTCTAATGGTTACTGAGTAACCACACACATACTTTCAAAGGGCTACCAAAGCAACTGCATACACACTGTGTGTCTGCGTTGTTGTTAGGGGGGGTGCTCTCCAATCTTAACCACATATTCTCTGAGCAGCTGACAACATTGCTGCCGTCTCCATCAATGTTTGTTATAGATCTCGTCTGCATCGCATTTGCTGCAACAGCTGAGTAGACCTGAATTAGCTGGCCCCCTCTTCTGTCTTTCAATGAAAACTGACACATGTTTGGGAGTGATACATCCTTAGTTAAACCAGAATTCTCGGTGCCTACCTGTTTGTTGGCCTTGAGGACAGTCCTCAGGGTTGCAATCTGTTCCCTCTTGGTGCTGAGCAGGGATTTCAGTTTGAGGATCTCCTCCATGCAGGCCTCCTTGTCCTTGTCGGCCACAGTGCCGAGCTCCAGGGAGGCGACCCTCTGGCGGGACAGCTCTGTGGTGCGGTCCACCGCCAGCTGCAGGTGCTTGATCTGGTCTCGGATGATGGCCACCAGGTTGTAGATGTTCATGGGCTCGCGGCGATGTTCAGACCCGGGGGAAGGCAGCGAGGAGACGGGGGAAGGGGCTCCGTCAGACAGGTCGGTCCTACCAGGCTCAGGGAAGAGGCCCTTGGTGAGCAGGATGGGAGAGCGGCGGCCACGACCCTCAGGGCTGCTCCGACCTCCCTTACCTTGCTTGTAGAAGTCCAGCATGACACGGTTGGGTGTCTCGTTGTTGCACATGCAGACGTGGTTGTAGAGGGTGGCCAGTTCTTCGCTGAAGGTGACCAGCTCGTCCTGCGCAACACTAAGGCTGCCCTGAGACTCGCCTGCCACGTCGCTCACCTGTGAACACAGAGAAAGAAGCTTCAATTAAGCTGCGTACAAGATTAACTATTTATTTGATCATCAATAAAAAGAGCAACATCTCACCTTGCGCAGCTCCTTCTCTAGCTTGATCTTCATCTCTCTCTCTGTCTGACTGGTCTTCTCTAGAGTTGCCAGCTTCCCTCCCAGCGTTGTGACGTCATATTCCAGACGGGTGTGCTCCTCTTCGTAACGTGACTGACAGGCCTGATATTGTGTCTTCAGAGTCTTCAGTTCCTCCTTCAGCTCTCCTGCTTCGGACACGGCAACCTAGCAAAGAAAGATCAATGGTTGAACATATATAAAAGCTGAGTATCAACAAAGGAAGTAGACATTCTGCTTTTAGCTTGACACATTTCTTCTACCGATAGGAGGAAAGCTCCCGTACCTTATACTTGCACTCCAGAATCTCCGGTCCATTGATGTCCACCTCGTAGTAATCTCCGTCCTCGTTGCTGTCACGTTCTTTCTCGTTGTCCAGGGCAGACTGGCGCTCCTTGCTGGCCTGGAGCTTGCGCATGGCGCTGAGGTTCTCCGTGAGGCGGTTGACCTTTTCCTGATGCTCGGACAGAGCACCGTTAGCATGCTCCAGCTGTTTCTGGGAGTCCTGCAGGGTGGACAGCAGGTTGACCTTCTCACGCTCCATCTGAGGAGAGAGGCGAAGACATGGGAGGTTATCATACTGTATTCTGTAATTAAAGTACAATGCTCCCTGCTGGGTCTTTCACACGTCACCATTTTTAGAATTTCAATTTCGCTGTTACACGATAACGTGAATGGTTCCTGTTTTGAAAATATATCATATTAAATCAGTGGATTATGTGGCATGTTGCGACTCAGGCTTGTGTTGCTAAGTTATGTGAAGCTTATCAGTCAGGATGACCTTGACAATTCTCCGGACTGCACTCAGCTCAGAGGGTCGTCTTACACACCAGCAGCCAGTTATGCTGATATAGGCAGCCAGCTATTTGAGAAGCTGACCAGTAAATAATGTAAAAGTATCATGTGTATGCTCATCTGCATACATTTTTTACGAGTGCGGAACAAATATGTAAAGTTCGATTAAAATGCTGTGTCATGTTAAGGAGCTAACTGTTTAATATTCCTTTATATCATATGTTAAGATACAAACAATGTTAATAAAAAAAAGATTTGAATAAATAAATAATGTATTAAATGACTGATCTTTTCATGTATTGATCTATTCCTGCAGAACCCATATTGTATGTTGTTAAACATCAACAAGAACTAATAAGGTGAAACACAAGGAGTGGACGTCTAGGATCAATCCTTGAGTACCTAATCAATAGAAGGTATGAGAGGAATGAGAGGGCTAGATGAGTAAAGGAAGGTTTTTGTTTGCTCTGCTCTGATTCCTCACTGGAATCTGTGGAATGACCTGGCAGGAGGCTTCAGCAGGCGGAGTGACACGCTGCGGGTCATAGCAAACACACAGCTTTGTCAGCCAACCAGATCCGGCACAATGATCGGGTTGAGAAGCAGAACGGTGTCCTTAGCAGGGCAGCATTGAGAGAGCTTGAACTTTACTTTATTAATCCGGCAACCGTGTTTATGTTTGACGAAGGGAGACAAATAAAGAATCCCTTGGTTCTCAAAACAATCCACAAGTTCCCCATACTTTCTGGTAGCCATGGTGCCCAATCAGGCGCGGCTGGTGCACTGGTTCCACCACCCGCTGCCTCCCGGCCCAGCAGAGCCTGAAGGGTGTGTGTGTGTCTCCATGGGTTCATTTAGAGGATTTAGACCCCTGCAGCAACCTGGGTCAGGATCTACCGACTCAGTGTTTTAGACACACCTCTGGCCTACTCAAAAACACAGTCCTGCTGATTTATTTTATGATAACTACTTAACCTAGTTTGTTTTAAAACATTTAATAAGCATTGCGCTCATTTATTGCCATATCAAGAATATCTGGAGGATGTCAAAGTCAACTTTAATCTTCAAGGTACTATAAATCTTTGACTCTCATTAGCTTGCTATTGATTTTTTCTTCACTAAATACACCTTAAAACACAAACATTTACTTCCCAATCTGGGAGACTGCAATTGATTTATCGTTTCTTACTTGTCCGTGGAATGGATGGTTATAAATGGTTACCAATGTGTTTAACTGTTTACTGACACAAATGTTTACACAGTTGTTAATAACAAACCTGCATCAGCTGCTGTTTGAGCTTCTGGATCTCTGAGATGTTCAGTTCGCTCAGCAAGTCGTCCACCAGGCTGGGAGCGGGATTGAACAGCTCTTCCTTCTCGGGAGAGGAGATGCGGTTGTTGTAGGCGAGAGCATTGGCCAGTTTGGTGAAGCCATTCTCAAATTCCTGCAGAGCCTCGTCGTTGTTGGGTTCAGTGGAGGCATCGTCGCTGAACTTGAGACCAACCAGAGAAATGCTGAGAGGGCTGAGGGGAGAAAGTAGGAACGGTGTGTTATCTTTTGTTCTTTACACTGTTTTCTGAGTCCTATGAACACTTTGTGTGTTTTTACCTGTGACAAAGAGTGTCTCCAATGTTCATGTAGTGGGACAGCTCTTTCCTCAGGGATGCTTTCAGCTCTCGCTCAGTCTTGATGGTCTCCAGGGCTTCAGCTAGCTGACGCTCTGCAATCTCCTTCAGGCGGATGGCATCCTCCAGCTGGCTGTTAAGGAACTGAGTGTCCTCCTCTTGACGACGGATCTCATGCTTCAAACCTTCAAACTCCACCTAGGTAAAAAAAGAGGTGATGGAAGACTATCGATGAGTTTTGAATTGACGACGAAATACAACAAGATGCAGCTCAAATTCAAACAAGCTGTCAGACTGGATCATGTGTGGCAAACCAGCTGGATCAAACAGAATGACATTATACAAGATAATGTTAATTGACAGAATATAGATTGAATTTCCCTTTCTAATTAGTTTGAAGTTAATTGGATTTGGGAATCCTTTTTATATTGGATGTCTTAAAAGTAGGAGCCGCTTTTGTTTGGTTTCATGCCCTCTGTGATGAATATGGAGAACAGAATCCGAGAAGCGCATATGCAAATAATTAACAGCTCAAGGATAAAAGCTTATACTAAATGGAAATATCCAAGCTCTGTATTATGTTTGCAAATGTGCGAAGGGGATTGTATTTTTCTTTCCACTCATTTGACTAAACCAAGGAAGGTTTTTTTTTTACTACAATGAAGTGTTAGAATCTCTCTGAATAATGATAGCTGCTAAAGAGTCGATCAAACACTTCTACAGCCAGGCGGCAGGAAAGAAAAAAACAAAGGCAGCTGCTTATCTCGTTGCTGTATCGGAGGATGTTTTTATTATCGTAATTAAATCTGAATGTTAAAGCTTCTTTTGGCTGTCTAATCAGTACAAGAAGGAGACACACTGAGAGCCAATGAGAGGGAGGATGAGGGCCTGTAGGGCGGCTCAGATGCTGTTAGATAGTTTACAGTACGTGTGTGTGTGTGTGTATAAAAAGTACTACGCTGAGATGCCTGAAACTACCCGTTTAATTAGGCCTTGCCAAGAAGACTCCCTGATAACCATCAACAAAGGCGGATTTAACAGGAAAGGGGATTGTTATGTGCCGTAGTGTTTGTGTGGTCGTGTATGTGTGTTTCTCTCTCTCTCCCTCTGATTCCCCAGGTGCAGCCTGATTGTCCCCAGGTGCAGCCTCTCCCAGGTGCTGCCTGATTGTCCCCAGGTGCAGCCTGATTGTCCCCAGGTGCAGCCTGATTGTCCCCAGGTGCAGCCTGATTGTCCCCAGGTGCAGCCTGATTGTCCCCAGGTGCAGCCTCTCCCCAGGTGCTCCGAATTCCTAATCAGGGCCTCCATATAGGCCCGGAGGAAGACTGCAGTGGGCTCTCCGTTTTTCCTCCTCTGGCTGCATGTGTGCAGACCTGTGTGTTGCCATTTGATAGGAGGGGAGCTCCGTGCTATAATCGATGCTGTATAATTCTGTGCAAATTGGCTGGTGAGCCCGTGTTTCTTTTTTGGTCATTAAACGACTGGTGCGTTACTAAGAGATCGGTTTTCTCTCCTTTTTTTGTCGTGCTTGGTCATCCTTGTGTGTGGTTACTTCCCTTTGTACCCCCCTAGATTTAGAAGGGAACGTAACAGGGATGTTCTGCTGTATGGTTCAAACGTTGTGCATCAGAGCTGCAGCCCTGTTTTATCCTCACCTGGCTCTGTTTGAGCATGGAGACCTGCTTCTGCAGCGAGATGTTCTCCTCCTCCAGCTCGGTGTAGTCCTGCAGCAGACGAGCCTCCCTGAACTTGTACTCCTTGACGTCATCACGCAGCTGATTCCTCTGGAGCTCCACCATCTGGCTGCTCTGTAGGGCAACAAGAGGAAGGGCTGTCAGTGACCACCATTTCAATCTCTTTTGACCGAGGGTGGGAGAGATGGCCATGATTGGATATTGTTGCTTTAGTATAACGGTTAGTGTCACGTTGGCTATTTAACACTTTAAATCTTGCGCGATACAAAAAGATCCCATCTGGTCCGACCCATCGTGTGTGTGTGTCTTTGGTGTGTGTGCCTGTTCGTGTTTGAGAGGGAAGTGCCAGGTGTCTCTCCGGGCAGTGGGCCACAAGTGTGTCTGCCTGCCAGCTCTGAAAGTACCACAGAGACCGAGCCGACATATCTCTCTCATGGTGACAGACATTCAATAGCCAGAAAGCTGTATTAGTCAAATGTTCTAAAGAGGCGTTAAATTGGGCATGGTTCGCTATACAGAAGCATTAAAGAACTTGAAATGTTTGGCTCTATGAAACCTGATGTACTTATATGATTCTGTTTTCTTCAAGGTTGTGTCTTCCTGGTCGAATGTACTTATTGTAAGTCGCTTTGGATAAAAGCGTCAGCTAAATGCAATGTAATGTAACTTACTGGCACAAATTGTAGAATTAAGTCGTTTTAGTTGGAACTCGAAATCGGAATATCTGACTATTACCAGTTAATATGTGCTCGTATTTTGAGTTATATACTGCAAATGTAGATCCTTTCTGCTCAGGAAAGACATCATGAATTATATAAAAAGGTAGAGATGTAAGAGAAATGCCCTTCCCCCCGCTGTTAGACTGCCACACAAAGCGAAGGATCTGATCAGCCGTACTTAGCCACCTGTGTCCTACTACCTCGTCTATAGCTCTGTTTAACCCTCTGTCCTCTTTCTTCAAGATGTGCCCATGGCTTCCTTTCCCTGCCGACTACCTCATCCCAAAACACAAGAATCCCACAGGACACTTGGGTGGGGGGAATCTTAGCCGGCGGCTGTCAGAGAAATAGCAAATAAAAGCTCTGAAGTAAGGGGATACTCGGTGAAGGAGAGTGGACCTCAGCCTTTTTGAACTGAATAAATGAACATGCACATGTGTGTGTAATGTGAGAAAGAGTGTTTGAAATAGATCTCTGTGTTCAGCACCGTCTGAACTGACCTTGAATGTGTGTGTGAAAGTGAGCGTGTGACTTTGGACACAAACAGCTCGTGTTTTTATCTCCTGATCAAGTAAGGAATGTGTGCAAATATGTGTGTGTGACAAAGTGAGAAAAGAACAGCAGTCTCTGTATCTACAGTATAGTGAGCATTTGCATGCGGCTTTGAATGTGTGGGATGTGTGGCTTTCTCTCAGGCGAGTTGGCGGAGATAACCTAATACCAGAGGGACAATTAGCCTCTCAATCCCTCGCCAGGTGGCCCCTTCCTCTCACACCGTAACCATGTGGACGCATCAATCCCTGCTCTCGGATCATAGCAGCAACCAGAGGAAGTCGATCCTGAGAGGCTTTCACTGTGCAGATTTACTCATGTCTCCACTGCCTTGAGATTAAATACACATCAGTAATATAATGTGTACAAAAATAGAGTGAGTAATAAACTGGTGATGACAGGTGATGGCTAGAAACACCTTTTAATAAGGGCCATTGGTTTGATCCCCTTAACAGTAATGAGCTCAGACACATGCCAGTATAGTATTATAACATATTAATACAGCTTTAATTGTAACCAACAATAAATCACGCTGTTTACAAACTAATGGATCTCAAGAGACTGTCACGCCACAAAACACTATTATGTCTAGTTATTTGCTATAATTAGAATGTACTCACTTAGTTGGCTAACTCTGAGGAGTTTACTGACAAACAGTATGTTGCTGGATCCCCCCCGATGAAGCGCATCTCGTTTGCTCTGTGCAATAATTCATCGCTATGTGCAGAGCTGAGTTGCGGCTGACGTTTGAAGTTGCATTCATATTCATTGGGGGTTTTGCGCATGCCTAACGAGCGTGGGCGTTTGCTCTGCGAAAGCCCTGATGTTAGTGCATTACTGAATAATGCATGAGCTTACATACAGATGAGTCTAACAGTAAGCCCATTGGTCCTGACATCGTAGAGCAATCTGAATTAAAGTGAAAATGGGGGAAACAGTCAAATTGTCAATAGATTTACACACTCTAGCTGGCAGGTTTGTAGTATCAAACTATTTACATACTATTGTATTAAGATTTTTAGCATATCACCACACAGCTGGAGTAATCTCTTGTTTTTGTTCTTGTGCCAGCTGGTTGCTAGGGCCTGGCCTGTTGTGTGCCTCAGCCGGAGGGTCAGTGCTGCTCGGTCCTGATGAATACAGGCCTCCTCTGAACCTGATTATGATCCTCCTCCAATCTGATTATTATGCATACCAGGGCTTTGACCTTTCACCCTGCTTCCACATCCTCTGCTGCACTGAGCCGCTGAGGGACTGGGGGGTGGGTTTGCGCTGCTGTTTGACAGGAGTTGATTTGAGTAAACTCATCAGTGTTTACTGTGGCCATGTGTGTCCCTGCTATAAAGGGTGAATGACATTTAATCAGGAGGAGCACACACCTCTCTTGGGAATTGTTGTGATATAATATGATAATGAGTGTGTGTGGCTGGGTAGATACTGGGTGTGGCTTTAGAAGGCCATCTGAGGTGCCATCAATAAAGTCAGTGGGAAGCCTCTCTTGAGCATGTGCCTCTGTTTCCTTAGGGATGACCCCCCCCCGCCTTCTGTCACCACAGGTGACGTCTGGGCAGCTGACCTTAATGCGCCCACACACACACATACAAACGTGTCACTTCCATGCAAAGTGGGTGGTAGTGAAAACAGAAGCAGACAGTGGTACAGGCACACCAGAAACATGCAAGATGCTTGTGATATCGTATACGTTTAAAACTAAAGTAAGGACTAGTGCATTATTGTGTATATGCATGATAAAGCATAGCCGTTTGTTGCTCTAATGAACTCTCACTAGGCCATTCATGCTGCAATATGTCACGAGAGCTCACATTTCAGTGGGTCAGAGCTTCTTACGGTAGCTTATGTGCTGTAGGAACTCTCTCACTTTTAGCTCCAAAGCTTTCTTTTCACCATTCAACTGCTCGACAGCACAGTGGAGCTGAGCCTGCTTAAATCTCACTAAAGCTTTGAGTATTTTCTCAATGTGTTTGAGCCCCTATAACCTCTACTTCTATGCTCCATCACTGAGTAAGCCACGGTGGCAACGTTTCAGGCTTAACACAAGTGTAGATTATGCATGTTTTTCACGTTTTTCAGGCTCTGCATCGCTCTTAATAACTCAAATATGCATTTCTGCAAATCCTATCATATTTACTAGCTTTTCTCCCCTCTGGTTTAGTTCCCTCGAAAGTGCTGCGACCCCCATATGGCAAGAGACTGTACTATTGATTAAATAGAGAGACTCAATATAAATATAAATAAAAATGTTTTCTCCCTTTCTCTCTCTCGCACTCTGCTGACCTCTATTCCACTCTCTATCCTACCCACTATGCACTTCAGTAAAATGCACATGCACTGAATTTCCTTCTCAAATTACTCTTCCTACAAAGTGCAGAGGGGTCCCCAGATGCAATGACACCAAGCACAGGTCAATATTGCTTCTTTTTTTTTTTAACCCTCTGTCTTGGCTTCTCTTTCTAAAACCACTGGCCTCCATTTCGCCATTTCACAAACATTGACACGCTCATATTTCCCACCCCCACCCTCTCTCTCCTCAGCATGTCAGTGTGCCTTTATGGCGCGTTTCCACAGCAGGCCTCGCTCGGCCTGGTTAGGCCTTATTAGGCCCGGCTCACTTAGAGACCATGTATCAGTCACAGTTGAATTCCTTCCTCATACCAAGCTTTAATTCCACCATGTCTATCTATCAGATAAAAAAAGAAGTAGACAGGGCTCGCCATGTTCAATTCAGCTTGCAGATCTCAGGTGATACTTCAGATAGCTAATTAGTGAAAACACGTTTCATGTCCTGTAGGCTCTGCCGCACGTCAAGGTCATGTCAGCCTGAGTTAACACTAACTCTACCAAGCCCAGCACATCCCAGGATTACCTTCAGGAGAGACAAGAAATGAATCCTAGATGCACTACAGTTCAACCCCCCCAGAATAGGTTTAGACAGAGCAAAGGAATAATGAAGCTCAGGGGCCTATTGCTACTGTCACAGCTAGAATGTGGGTGAAAGCAGATCTGCTTTTATCCTGCTCTTCGCTGCAAGCAATTGTCATTCTATGCAGCCAACCCAGACTCCATTACAGAGAGACAACACAGTCAAGGTCACACTTTTCAATGAGACAATTAACATCTAAAAAGTGAAAGGAACCTTGCGAGTGTGTGGCTGATGATTCTTTGCCTAGTGTGAGTGTATAAAAGCCCACAGGGTGAACGTGTGTCTACATGCACTTATAGTGAATTAGTGATTTTGAGGTCATTTGGATGAGAGTGGAGAACTGTTGGTGTGAGCACATTTACACCCATTATCTGCAGTGAATGTGTAGGCCTGTGTGTGTGTGTGTGTGTGTGTGTGTGTGTGTGTGTGTGTGTTGATGATTTATTAGGATCCATTGATCCAGCATGGAAAACCTCTTTGGTGTTACGAGCCAGAGGCTTAAATCAAGATCGAGACACTTTCAGAGCTTTCTAAAAGCTGATGCCAAAGACAAATATTGTTAGGGATCAATGGCACATCTTCTAAATGTGGTTTAGAGACGCATCCCTCTCAAGTCATCAATCTTTTACACATGGAGGAAGCCGACGTGGGAGTCAGATTGAATGATGGTGGGAGCTGTGGACAGATAACCCAAAAAACATCTGCAGGATCAAGTGTCAGTTATGAGATACTCGTTGAAATTTGAATACAATGTGTTTATTACATCTCTTCTCCTTCTCCTGCCGTCTCATTCAGTTTTTTCTTAAGTTCATTTTTCAACCTTTTCTCTGTTTGTCTTTCTCTACTGCCCACCGCCTCCAACTATTGCAGGACAGGAGGTGATCCGTCATGGCATTTATGTC